AACCCGGGGACGCGCCTGGTAGCATTCAGCTCTGCTTCCTTCCAGCTGAAGAGCGCTTAGCTCGCATATTAACTCTGACTTAACCTACACAGACTGATGGAACATAAAAACTCGAGGTGCGCGATCCATCTACCTGGGTGAAGATGCACTCTGGGGTAGTCAATGAGTGCTTGTTGCATTATCAAATTTATGGTATACCGGGATAACACCGGTGATAAAGGAAAGCTTTGTTAGACTTCAGAGCTCATTGTAAACTCAGCTGATTTTTCTCCATTTTTACGGACGTGTACCTGGGTCCCTGAGTAATACAACGTTCAAAACCTGATGAATTTCTCTAGCTTTTACAATCAATAATCATATACCTTCATGCGATGATCTTGCCTGCTATCTTATGGCTTTCAATTTGAATAGAAGAGTACAGGGAATATTGGAGTGTTCAAATAAGTTCCAGAGCAAAAATAGAGAATTTATGAAGACTAAGGTTGCAGGGTTAATGAGTAGAAGCACGAGCCCCATTGTTCACGACGACGTAGAAACTTAAATATTACAAAAACAAGATAAAGATCGACCGTTAATGTTCGAACACTGCTGTCCACGCAGCGTTGCACGAGTCTGGTGGGGAAACCAGTCAAGCAATTTCGATGTTACGCGCATAGTTGTAGGTACCTGCGGCCATCCACTGGAGCAAGTGGTCGACTTCCACAGACTGCTTTGGTTGGGGCATACGTTAGGTATACCACCAAATAGTTAGCTACGGCGCGTTGCTTGCCTTGGCAGGTGATAGATGGAAAAAAGTAAAGGGCGGTCGAACGAAGACCTGGTAGGAGGATATAAAAACCTTAATCAAGAGACTCACTCTTATAGATCGCGTTAGGCTTCCTGTGTAAGTAAATCGAAATCGTGGTAACCGATCATTAGCGACACTATGATATGTCTGAGTGCCTCAAACAATGGCAATTATGTAGCTACTCGTTATTGCAACGTTAGTCTTCATGAATTTTCCACGTTCTCTTCGACTGCTCTCAACTGTCCAACTTAATTTCTACCCCTTCATCCAAATGGGTAGCCTAAAAACAGCCATTGTAATCCCCACACGAGAGTGCATAGTTAATCGTTCTAAAAGGTGTGCTCCTTGGTCTTCCGCATTGTGTTCAAAGTTCAACCAGCGCCTAAATTAGACAATAACCAACTGAAAATACCTATTTTCGTTGGTTCAGCGGACGCGACCACCGTAGTCCAAGCAATTCGTTTGATTTCCACTTTCCCTTTTTATTTTCATCTCGCTCCACATCGTTGGCATCAAATTTCCTACCCCTATACTTTGCTTGCTTTTCAGATTTTCTGACTACGTTTTGTGGTATCGTAATTTAAATCCTAAGTTAATCAGTTCCCCGAACTGTTTACCTTACCCAGTTGATTCTTATTGTTCACAGATAGTCCTTTTTATTCGGATTTTTTTGTTTTCAGGTAATCAGTATGGCTGACTACTGGAAAAGTAATCCCAGGAAGTTTTGTGATGTGTGTCAGTGCTGGATGGCTGATAATAAAATAGTGAGTTCCTAATCCTCCACAAAGACAGACTTAGAGTGTTCAAAACCACGAGAGTGGCATGCGACATAAGGCGAACGTAGAGAAGAAAATGAACGAATTGCAGCGAACTAGCATAAATGCGGAAAAAGAGAAACAGAAGTTGCAAGAAAATTTGCAAAAGATCAATGATGTAAAGCGTTTTGATGTTTTGATAAATTGTTAGGGTGCTTTCGTTGGTATGATGAAAGATATTGCTCGGGACCCCAGTCTAGCCAAACGGTACGGTATCGTTCTCACTGGTTGGTAACAAAAGCGATCGATTCATCACTGGTTTATTTTAGAAGAGCAAGAGCAAGCTTATAAACGTGAAGGTAAACTACAAGACAAGGAGAAAGATACCAGTAATCTTAAGAAGCCACAAGTGCCACCTCCATGTGAATGGCGCGAAGCAACAGCTTCTGATGGCAGAAAATATTATTGGAACACTGTTACCAGAGAAACGCGTTGGACTCAGCCCGAGGGTGTTTCCATTGCACCGGAATTGCTTTCAGTCAAGGAAGAGAAAAATAAACTCAAACAGTTTGTTTTAAACCGACTCGTTGAACTGAGTGAGTCGGGATCTACGGAGGCCACTGAAGCTGTTCACCAAGCATTCAATGCTCCCATTCCCAGCCCAGAGACAAACGATATTCCCAAATCAACTGCTGATAAACGAAAGCAGACTACCAAACCCGATGAAGCTAGTCCTCTAACGTTTCATGGTCCAAAGATTGATTTACTGGGCCAGTGGGTTCCAGTGGAGGAAAGGTAAGTTGCATTATTGTTCTTTTTAAGAGATAGTTTGCACAGTGTTTTCGGAATATTTTCTCTGCCTATGTACATACGCCTAATGTAGTTTCGTTGAACAGTAACGCAAGTTTATACCGCATAGGAGTGGTGCTTAACCGGCCAACTGAAGTCGCTACCTTTGAAGGAAATTTCCAAGACCTGTCTGCATATTTTCCATTGTTAGATTTGGTCTCATTTGTTTTCACAGATATTCGATAGAAGGATTTAGCAATTAACTGACAGCAGTGGCGTTCTTGTTGTCAATTCTTATCAGTCCAGATTGCTTGAAACGGTATATATCACTAACCACCAGTTACGATCATCCTGAGTTCCCTGGCCAGGGAGCCTAACATGACCTATGTGACCGAGTCTCTTGGTTGGGGTTTTCATACCCTTGTGCCAGGTCTTGGTTTGATCACCCTTGGTTTTATTCCACTTAGTACCTGTCTCGCCGAACATCGCGCGCCTTGGCAGCCTATTCGGTCGCGTGCCTAACATACCCCAACCAACGTAATCTGTGGAGGTCGACTGCTTGCTCTAGTGGGCAAACACAGGTATCTAAAACTCTGCACCTAACCTCGGAATAGCTTGATTGGTTGCCCCACCAGGTTCGTCAATGCTGCATAGACAGCTGTGTTCAAACACGGACAATCTATCTTTATCCCCTTTTCGTAATGACCAATTTTCTACGCCGTATAGCCCATCAGTCGGAGGACTCAGTGAACAGTGGACGGCAATCAAGGAAGCTATCCAAATATCAGTAAAAATAATGGCAGATTCTGCTACACGATCGAATCAAAAACAATTGATCTTCCCGATCTCGGTTGTCTTGCTGGACGCTCGCAAAGCTATTCCTTCGGATGCAAGACACGACAAAGCGCGCAACTCCCTTGAACACCAGCTCATCAAGAGTCTGAGGAATGACCACGAGTAGTGGTGGGTGGGAAAGTCTAGAGCAATGGAGAGGTCTGCGGCTATCGGTAATAGTCGCAACCTTTTTCGTTTAATTAGGAGTACACGTCCAAGGAAAGTAGGCGTAAGTGAGGTAATTAAGGAGTCTGACGGCACACTGATTCAAACTTAGAAACACCGTCTTGTACGTTGGGCATAACATTTTGAGGCTTAGTTCACCTGGCCCCCGCCAGCACAAGCGCTCCATATACGTGGTTCAATTGTGCATATACTGCCAGTTGACATCAGTCCTCCATCTGAAATGGAGGTTACCCGGGAAATAAGTTATTTCAAACGGCATAAGGCTTCCGGCCCCGACGGGCTGTCCCCATCGGTTCTTAAGGATGGAGGTCTAGCCTTGATTTTGGGGTTAACAAAACTCCTGGTTTCAGTGTGGGAGAGGGAACAGGTTCCAACTGAGTGGTGTGAATCGGTGATCATACCGATTTACAAGAAAGGTGACAGATCCTCCTGTGAGAACCACAGAGGAATTAGTTTAATCAACATCATCTCCGAACTTCTCTGTGTTATCATACTCCGTCGATTGTCTGCCGCACGGGAACGGTGTACGCGTGAGAACCAGGCTGGTTTCAGATCTGGTCGAGGTTGTATCGACCCAATCTTCACTCTTCGTTTAATCCTAAAACACGGACACTCCTTTCGTAGACTCAGCATTTCTATCTTCCTGGATCTTAAAGCGGCCTTCGACTCAGTCGACTGCTCTAAACTCTGGCGCTACCTCGCTCTAAAAGGTGTGTCCGATAAGTTCATTTCTATCTTACAATCCCTTCATACTAATAACCGAAGCCGAGTCCGGCACTTTTTCACCCGAATTCACCACGGAAAGTGGTGTTCGAGAGGGTTGCCCTCTCTCCGTTTCTATTTAACTTCGTGATGGATTTAATTTTCGAAACAGTCCTATCTTCGTGCGAAGATGGCGGTATCGATTTACTCCCGGGTGGCAGACTGTCTGATCTAAAGTATGCAGACGACATTGTGCTACTAAGTGAAGATCCAGGTAATTTGCAAGCTTTTCTGGGTAGTTTGAGTGCTAGTGTAGCCATGTTCGGCACGCGTTCTGTACCTTCAAAGTGTAAAATGTTACTCCAACATTCGGTTGGTCCAGCACCCAGTCTCACCCGGACTGGGGAAGTAATAGAGTAAGTGGATAAGTTATGTTATCTGGGCAGCTATATCTCACCTGGTGGACGCATCACAGATGAAGTGTCGGCGCGCATACAAAAGGCTCGGATGGCATTTTCCAACTTGAGACACCTGTGGCGTCGTCGTGACATTCGGCTGTCTGTGAAGGATTGAATGTATGCTGCAGGAGTTCGGCCAGTCTGGCTCTGCGGTGCAGAGAATTGTCCACTGCGGATACGGGAATAAAATAGATTAGCGGTGTCACCTTCGTTGCAAATCTTTAAAGTGAGCGAGGGAACCTGTTTCATTTTCCATATTTAGTCCTCTAGGGTCGTCAACTCCGAAACTGAAGCTGAGCCTCCATCCTTAAACATCGATAGAAACGGGACAGCTGGGCTGGAGGCTTGATGCCGCTGGAGATAACTTATTTCCCGGGAACCCTCCATTTCGGATGGAGGAAATCATCAACTGGGATTATTTGCCCCGAAGAATTAGTATATACCATCATGCGGCACTACAAAAGGTGAAAGGTGAGAAATTGTCAAGCTGTCCCTATTATTTTATCAAAGCGCTGCAAACCCGTCAGTTACCAATTGGGTAGTTCAGATCTGCTTAACCCTGAGTCGTTCAAATGAAGAAGGAATAATAAACTTCCACTTCGCTTTACCCGGTGTCTTGCACTTGGGTTCCTTTGGCATTGTCTAAGAACGCCTACTCGTTCCCCTCATCACTCTTCGCTTAGGATCGTTAGGACCATGCTACCGACTGCGTCGGGCGGGGTAGATAGTGCTAAATATGCTTCTGCCCAGGTATTCAAATCCTGGTTTATTGTTTATCTGTTTCCTCCCACCCTCTTATACCCCACTTTTCAGTGTTCAAAATTTCCTTGTTAAACTCTTTCAACACTCGCTCAAGCTCGTTGTTAAGTAGTCTTTATCATGGTGGTAGTGACTTAGTGGTTTAGTGGCTGCCACGCTAGTATGGGGGTTGATCTCGTCTGCTGTTCCTCGCAACATAAGTGTAATGAAAAATATTATGCTGCTGAATGCAGTGAAGGGAAGTTTACTGATCGCTTCTCAGCTCAGGATGCATACACGGCTAGTAAAAATGCGTAATATGGGCAGGTATTAGGTCTATTTTGGAGAAAGAGGAAAGGAAACGAACTTGTGGTCAATACTCAGTGTATATGTATATATATTTCGTAATAAGTAGTATATGAATGACTAAACAAAATTTCCCTGGAAGCATGTGACCGGTTTCGCGGTTCTTGTCGCTTGTCAGATATGCGTATCCGGTAGTCTTTTGTCAGTGCATTCATATACTTGTGCCCAGAAAGTGTTTTAGGTCACAATGACGTTTGCAACACCGGGTGACTTTTGGATAGGCGGCTCTTTCAGAGCCAGTCTATTGAAATATCGATACTATAATTCGATGTTTTGTAGGTGGATTAGATGCTACTAACCACAACCGACGTTGGTGATATATGTATATTTTTTAACGATCACTGAAACTGCATTATACATAGTCAAAAGTAATCAATTGATTCAGTATACGTTTTGCAGACCTGTTTTCATTCCCCATTTGAATTTCAGTACACAAAAACACTACTTCGAATGTGGTTTTATCATTCTCTCGAGATTCGAAGGTAACTTCGATGGATATAGTATAATTTAGAGGTTACTTAACGGTTACTCAGCGATCCAGGATTCCTGTGGGGAGCATATGGTACCACATTACCCAGATACAACATACTCATGCAATTCACAACTGTCTTTGTGTGCCATTTGCTCTTACGTCGATTTATGCTTATCTCTTAGGTGCAAGCGTGCCATTTTAACCACATGGTCTCGGTCTGCTCTACAGTCAGTTACTGCTGGTTATCATTGAGTAACACAGCAACCCGTATCGCTCCCCTGAGGTTTTTAAATTCATTCATATTTTGTTGAACGGTCGAACGGTGGTCAGTTGTAAGTTCAAGCGCTGTTATAGACTTATGGAATGCTCACGCGTTGGTACAGCTCATGCCACTTAGTCAAGTATGCTGTAATGGGTGATTACTCCCCCACGGAAGGTATGCTGATAACGTATTGGTTATTATTTGAAGCACTAGGGAAGCCTGGAGGCTGTAAATTGAACTGCATTTTTCACAACAACACGCGGTTCACTGTTAAAACAGCGGAAAATAACATGTTCCCATTTTTGGATGTCTTTTTTTGGTAAAAAACCGAGTGTGACTATTTCGAGGTTTGTGCACCAAATCCTCGTGAATTGACCAACACGCCTTTTTGAGCTTCTCGTCGATCCAATATGTAGGTCTCATACTTACTCTGTCTGATGGATTTAGGCTGCTATGCCTTTTGGAAAACGTGGAAAGTTAGCTAATTTCGTTCACGGAGGCTTCTAAGCCCAGTGGTTATTTCGCATATTTAAAACACAGTTAGAGAAAAATAACCCATCTAAAGCATTCGGGGATAAAAGTGGGAAAATGTTAATTTTCTGTTTAACTGTTGTTGCGAAGATGTGCACTATCTATCATGCAGATGGCTTTTACCGATTGCACTTCGTTCATGTTTTACTACCACTCCTGTCTTTCACTCCGCGACAACCCTGATCCTGGGTCCCTTGGTCGAAGCGCCATCCTCTCTGTGCTACAAACCACACGTTTTCCACGATTTTCAGTTTGAGTGGAGAACCAACTGAGTATAGAAACCAGGGAGGCACCTACGTCGCCAAGTTGCCGAAGACTTAGTAGTATAGATTGAGGATTGGGAACTCATTAGTTTGTGGGCCACACAATAACCAATCGGTCAAGTCCTCCTACAAGACAGTCCGTAATTTCTGGCCATCTGCTGCAGACTGGAGACTAGATCGATTGATGGAGATCGTTCCAGGCTTTTACACTTATCCAAACCGAAGACTGCTAAGATATGCAACTTCGATAGTAATCAAGCGCCGAAAGACCCTGGAGAAGTTCTGCATCCTTATGGCATTGCCGTAAGCCACGTACGCCGAAGAATGAATTGGTATGACGTTAGATTGACATCATTTGTGAGATATATGCTTTTCGTTTTTTGTAGGAAGCACCAGTTGGGATGCAGCGGAACAAATATGGAATTAAATCGTACTCCGACCCTGTTTTTTGTTTTGTTCAAAAACCAAATGTGCACAGGAGAAAACACGCAAAAGACGTTCTTTAAAGAGTTGTTTCATTTTCATCGTCCTTCCCAGTTGTACCATGCTCGTTTTGTACAATTATTCATATAATTGCAGTTGTAGAACGTAGAAACGCGTGTAGTTCCGTACTTTTCCACATTGGTATCTTTATGAGCCGGCTCTTGATAATTCGGTTGCAGTAGCGGGTTCATAGAAATGGCCCTGGCTGCTAACTGCACTTATTTATATGGTAGCTTTAGATTGAACTATTGCTTGCGTTTTGAAATTTTCTAAAGAGCCCAGGGAATATGAATATGGTTCTGTAACAATATCTCAACTATCCAGCGCTACCGTTTTTTTTATTTTCACATGAAACTAGCCTTGCTCTGTTTGTGTTTGTAACTAACAGCACACAATGCCTTCCATTACCTAACTAGTGGTTCCAAATATCCTAAAGTTTACTACCCATTACCATATAGAAATGTGTAACTGCAACTGCACCTTTTTATTCCTATTCATAGTCCTCAGAAAAAAATGCCTAAGCTCGATCTACCCGGGGAAAAAGAACACCGCGCCTCGACATCCGTGACCTCTCCAACGTCTGAGGATACAGACTCGCGAACTGCAGTGCTTGCACACTTGGAGGAGACGACTTTTGCAGATATTCACGGTGCTGGTCGGCTAGAAACAGGGGAGAAACAATTGACACCTGGATCTGTTTCAGTCCCCGGTTCGACCAATCGGAATGTTCCACGAGTCGTCTTTCGCAAAGGCAATAGCTCTGTATCAAATCGCAGTTTTCGTACTACGTCAACGGCTGACTGATCCCTGATTCATCACCCAATGTAAATAAAATTATATTGCTGCCCGTTTATATTGTACTAAGAAGGTGCAGATGACTGTAACTTTGAGGGATACCGGTAGGAGCTTCTGCGTTTAATTACTGTTATGTAATACTTCCAAAGAAAGTGCGGAATGATGAGCTCTACGAGCAGCAGAGGAATGTCATTTCCAAAATACTCTTCGTGAAATTCTCTTCTAGATTACACTGTTCTCCTGTTTATGTACTAGTGGTTTGTGCGGCTCTGCCGCATATTAGATTAGGCTTCATTGAAATCCTTAATACCCTTTTCAATCAATTTGCTTATCCACAAGTTTCTGACTTCCGTCAATGGCCGATATCGTTCGAGTGAGCTCTTCTGAAGGGTTCATGTGGTTCAGTGAGTCGAAAGTCGAGAAAACAGAGGTCATAATGAGTAGCGTGACCAGTGACACTCACCATAGGAATAGAGAGCAAGTTGGATTACAATCAGGAAAAGGTACAGTAAAATATACAATCGACGAAACTAATCCCAGTTGATTCCTGAGTCATCACACAGGAGTTGGATTAGATCCAATATCCCGAAAAAATGGATACGTATGCGCTTGCTCAATGAGATTGACATCCGAACACCATGATCATCAAAACCTACCCTGTATGAACAACCGCAAGTGACCCACGGTACTTTCCTTTGAACCCTTGTTCGTTCCTAACAACTAACACGATACTGTCGATAAAATGGCATAGAATAGGTTTTGAGAAATTTATCAAGAAAAGGAATACGAATTCACTGTTTGTGCAATGAAGAGTGGTACTCTCATGTTTCGCATTAGTGTTTTTCCCATAATTGAGTAGACAATTGAATCTTCACTAACTACCTCCAACATAATTTTTATGCGTGACCTATCAAA